CTGATAAAATAGCTTGAAGATGTTGAAAAGGCTTTTGAAGCCAATCTTATATCTCCACTTCAAAAGATTTTTGTAATTATACCGAAGCTTAAGGGTCCTGCTACAACTTGGTGGGTTACAGAAGAAATCAACAACATATAATTAACCACTGGTATGACTCTATAGTACCTCAACAAAGCTTTACTACTTATTTTATTGCCAAATTCAAATCCCAGAGCTAGAAGAGAAGTGGTTCGCACAATTAACTCAATGAAAGCAATTGCTAAAAGAAAGTGTTGATAAGTATCATACAACCATAGAGGAGATAATTCGATGAGTAGAATCAGGAGAGCATCAATACCCTGATTTAGCAAAAGCCCAGATGTTTATTAATGGGCTTCACCCAGAGTTGTTTATGGCTGTATTCCCATTAACTCCTAACACAATAAAAGAAGTATATACGTAGGCAAAAGCATTTGAAAATGCTTATAAATCCAACCCCACTTATGCTGCCCTTTTAGGCCAGCCTGCAGTTTTTCCTTCTTATAGCTTCTCTGGTATGTTAGGGACAATAAATACAATAAATACTAGTGCAAGTAGAACTGAAGATACTTTAAATAGGCTAACTGAAGCTATTAATAGAATGATGACTTTATGGCAAGAACCAAGAAGGCCTTTTTGACTCTGACAACCAAAAGCTACAACAAATTAACCACAAGAGGTGATTTGTTATAATTGTGGACACCCCGGACATATAGCCTATCAATGTTCTAATTTATTAACCCCTGTTAATGATGGACCTCTAGCTCAAGCCAACTCCTCTCAAACAACTCTAGTAGCCAATAGTACAAACACTCAAAATACCCTCCAGGCTTTACTAGCCTTATTAAATAATAATTCTAGTTCAGATGAGTTCTGGAGTTAGTTATTATTTTTGAAAATACTAGAAGATAATAAAGTATTATTCCTACTAGCAGAATGACATGAGTGTCAAAAGCCTATTGTCAATACCCCTATTCTTCAAAAGAAAAAGAATGAACAGGTAGAAGATGCCTCTTCAGAACTAGTAAATCCAGAGATGAATGTAGATAGGAATCCAACTAAACAGAGTCAGGAAAATGATGAGCCATTGGTGATAGATCCCAAAGAAAATAAGGATGTGAAATCAAAAAAAGCTTCTACAGTTAGAAGAAAGAATACTGAGAAAGAATTGCCTCAGATTTCTTCTTTAATTAGCCTTTATTCAATCATGGTGGATATAAGGGATAAAACAGCTAATATCATATATGGACAATTGTTGAGAGCAGCACCAAATATGAGACAAGAGTTGGCTTGCTCTCTGCAAAAGAAAAGAACTATAGTTAGGAAGATAGCTCAAGGCCATGTTAATATGCAGCTGACACCAAAGTCTCTGCTCTGTATTGTAATGCAGAGATTTATGGCAAGTGTATCCCTCTAATAGTAGATAGTGGTTCATCCAGAAGTGTTGTCACTTCCCATTTGTTAAATGAATTAGGGATAAGGATTGAAAGACCCTCAGTAGTAAACATGATTAATATGCATGGGAAAAGTAAGAGGGCAATTGGGAAGATTTTGAATTTTTCTTTTAATATTGGTGGTGTTGAGATCCCCGTCGATGTTATAGTAACAGACACTAATTCTTATTGCACCATCATTGGGAATGATTGGCATGCTAAAGTAAACGCAGCTATTAATTAGAATTTAGCTGAGATGACTATCCTCTGGAACAATAAGAAAATTATTATTTCTGTTAAATTCAGAAAAGTGATTAGGTCACCTATAGAAAAAGAATGGCTAATAGTCATAAAGGAGGTTGACAAAAAGAACGAAGAGAAAGAAGAGAAAGATAATAAAGAGTCAGAAGAAGAATATAAAGAGGAGAAATTAGAGAAACAAATTTTTACCTACTCAGAAGTAGAGGCCAAGATTAAAGAAGTATTAGAAGAAAAAGGAAGAGATATAAAATGAAGTAAAGGATTTGAAGACTGGATAGAATATACTGATAGCAAAGTTTTAGAGAATAGCGAGGTGGAGGATATAATTATAAGGGATTTAGCTGAAGAAGAGAGATACATTAATTATAATATGACTAAAGAAGAAAAAGGGTATATTTTGGACCTTTTTGACTATTTTTATAAGGATAAAGTGCCAATAGAGATAAATTACCAAATAGAAGATTTAGAAGGACATTAGCAAGAACAATTAGAACTCTTGTTAGACAAGCATAAGGATCTTTATGCCCAGAGTCTTGACGAATTAGGGAGAACTAATATTATATGATACCAAATTCCAACTAAGGATATTTGACCTATTCGACAACATTCTTATCATTATTCTCTAGCAGAAAAAGCATTTCATAAAGAAGAAATTGAAGTTATGTTGAAGGAGAATATTATTAGACCCTCCACTAGTCCATGGACGTCTCTGGTAGTACTCATAAAACAGAAGGCAAGGAAGATATATTTTTGTATTGATTACTAGAAGCTGAATGCTGTTACTATCCAGGATAACTACTCTTTATCTAGAGTAGATGAACTATTAAATATCTTGAATGGTTTAGCCTGGTTTACTTTCTAGACTTAGCCAGCAGTTACTGGCAAGCAGAGATGCTTGAGGAGGACAAATTGAAGACTGCTTTTATTTCCCCCCAAGAAATTTTTGAATTCAACGTAATACCCTTTGGTTTAATGAATGCCCTAGCAACTTTCTAGAGGTTAATGGACCAAATTTTTAGTGCCATCCTAGAAAAGTTTGTTATCATATATTTTAACAACTTACACATTTTTTCCAGATCGTTTAAGGAGCATATCGATTATTTAAAGGAGGTCTTTAGTAGACTTTAGAATGCCGGGCTAAAGATAAAGCCCCAAAAATATTTTTTTGCCAAGAGAGAATTAAAATTTCTTGGGTATATTGTGAATGCCCAGGGAATATCAACAGATAGTGAGAAAGTTCAAGCCATCCAAGAATTCCCTTCTCCAAGAAATATGCGGCAGCTATGTGGATTCTTGGGCTTGGTATCTTATTATTGGTGATTCTTACGAGAGTTTACTAATATAGCCAGGCTATTAAATGCACTACTAAAAAAGAATGCTAAGTTTCAGTGGATATCTAGACAACAAGAAGCATTTAAAAAGCTTAAAGAAAAGCTTATAGCCACCTCTATCTTGGCCTATCCAGATTTCATGTAGCTATTTATTCTCTTTACAGATGCTTTAGATATAGCTTTTGGAGCTATTCTTTCTTAATTAGATCTTGAAAATAAGAAGAGAGTTATAGCATACGCAAGCTATTCTTTAACCCCAGCAAAAAAAAATTACTTAGTAACTGAAAAAGAATGTCTTGTAGTCATGTGGGCAGTTTCTTACTTTTGGCCCTATCTTCATGAGTCCCACTTTACCCTTTTTACTGATCATTCTATGCTGAAATCATTATTTTCTCATCGGCTACTCTAACATCAACTGGCTAGGTGGATCCTGATCTTGCAGAAGTACTCGTTCACTACCTTTCACAAAACTAGAAAAACTTATCTTAATGCTGATAGTCTTTTATGAATCTAGAAGAATATTCATATTTTATATTTTTTTTCTTACAATTTAACAATGCCAACTTCAAATTACTCCCATTTTGATTAACAGAAACTTATGGATTTAAATACATATTACATATTTTTAAGGTACCTTAGTGAGTCTATGATACCCATATATTATAACGCCAAGCAAATTAAGTCCTATAAATATTGAACCTGTCATTATTTTGTACAGGAAGGATTGCTGTACAAGAAAAACTCCTGTGATTCTATGAGACTATTAAGAGTTTTAAAACCCCAAGAGATTTAGTCTATTTTGTATGTGATGTATTTGGATCCTTTAGCTAGACATTTTAATAAAGAGGCAATATACTAGTGAATTATCACGTGATACTTTTGGCCTCAAATGGGAAATGATATTAAGGCCTATGTTGCTTCTTGTGATACTTGTCAGAAAAGAGGAAAGCTGAAAACCCGAGAACCTCTTCATCCTATCTGAATCAGTAAATCTTTTAATTAGATAGAAATAAACATAGTAGGACCACTACTGATTACTAGCCAGAGAAATCATTACATTATAGTAGCAACAGAATACCTTACACGATGGCCAAAAGCCTGAGCTATAAAGTGAGCAGATGCCAAAACAGTTGCTGCATTTGTCTTTGAAGACATCATTTGCCACCATGGAAGCCTTTGAAAATTACTTTCTAATCAAGGCACACATTTTTGTAATACAATTGTAGTGGCATTGTGCCAAAAAATGAATGTTCGATGCCAGACTTCTAGTACCTACCACCCACAAACCAATGGTTTGGTAGAGCATTTTAATCGAACTTTGTGTAAAGTCTTGGCAAAGTGTGTAGGGCAATTCAAAGGTGAATGGGATGAGTATGTGTTAGCTGCTCTCTTTGCTTACAGGACAAATAGACATTCCACTATGCATCATGAGCCTTTCTTCCTTGTATATGGACGTGATGCTCTATTATCTATGGAGACTGTTATTCTCACTTACCTTAATGAGCCTACTACTGAGGAAGGAATGCAAAATCAAATATTGAGGTGAATTAAAACCTTATTGGGAAATTTAGAAGAAGCCCACTATCAGGCTAAAAATAATATTACAAAAGCTCAAAATAAACAAAAAGCTCATCATGACCAAAGCCATATTATCGAGAGCTATTCTATAGGTGATAAAGTACTATTAGTAGAATCTTCTTTATTAATCTCGTACAGTGCTAAGCTAAACCAAAAATTTACCAGTTTCTATTATATCTACAATGTTTGTAGCAATAGTATTTATAAATTATGAACCATAAATAAAATAAATAATAAAAAGCCCAAGAGGATTGAAAAAGTACTTCAAAAGGCAATATATAGAAACAGGTTAAAGAAATATATTCTGCTTTTTGATAAAAAAACATCACAAGCTTATAAATACGGCTAGAATTGACCTTTTCTCCCTTCCACAACCATGGACTCCTTCTTATTAACTAACTCTTTACTAAGAAACCTTTTGAGAATACAAAGATATCTTCAAGAATCCTCTGCAGCTATAATTTGTATTACTGATGATACAATAGAATTCCTGGATGAACAAGGTGAACCAACTGAGATTATTATAGCTTCTGATATTAATGGAGCTGCTAGTAATGAGAGTAGGATACATCTTTTTTATGAAGACCTACAAAAAGTAGAAGACCCTGCTTTAGAGATTGAAAAACCGAAAGGGGAGCTGGACTCAGCAAATGGATGACCCTGTATCTGGCTTTAATTTTGTCACCTTGACTGAGTAAAGACCCTTGAATATTACTATATTTTAGGTAAAAAAAATGGCCATATTCAATTGGAATAGTTATGCAAGGCAGGAGATAAAACAGCAATTTATACGTAGTAAGTATAAAAATGTATTGCGAATTGTCTACAGAGTTTATGAGCTGTACTATACTCGCGGAGTTCATAATATATTAGCTATTTGTTATTTATTAACCAATGCTTTAGTGACTATGAGTAAGGAAGAATATGCCTTCTTGCTAGAGGAGGCCCAAAGGAGTCGAGATAAAGAATTCGAGCACCTAGTACTAGAAAATTAGGTGTTTATGAGAGCTTATGTTAAGGAGAGGAGTATATCACAAGAAATATTTCCCGTGACTTCTAAATGTAGCTCGAGTTTATTTTGGTTTGGGCTTGAGAGACTAGAAATAACCCAACCTTTGGGTATTGTGGTATAATTATTTATTTATTTATTTATTTTTTTCTTTCTTTCTTTCTTTCTTTTTATTTCTTTTATTTTATATTTTTCTTGGTAAATAGAAGGATAAGTGAGGGCCTAGAACAAGGAATTAAAACTAAGCCCAGGACGGTATAGAACTAGTAAGAAGAGGTTTTTGGGTTGTCAAAACTTTAGCAATAAGAGAGAGAACTAGTCAGGCTTAAACAAAGAGCTTAGTGAAGTGACTAGAACTAGCCCTTAGAGATTAGAAATACAGTCAAACCTCTCTATAGTCACCTCCTATATAAGCACATTTTCTTTATAAGCTTATTTTTTAAAAAACTATCTATTATTAAATATAATAAATTTGACCTCTATAATTAGCACACTTCTTTATAATCACGCTTTTTTGTATCCCGTGGGTGTGACTATAGAGAGGTTTGACTGTAGTCCCAACATGTAAATAAGAAACTATGTAAATTAAAAGTATAAAAGTGCAATCTCTTATATCTTAAATAAAGAGGGCTTCCATGTCTTGATTTATTAGAATATAATAAGAATCGAATTTTCACCTAATTAGAATATACCTTGTTAAATAAATAAAGTCTTATTGCATTATTTTTTTTATCACTCTTAATTATCATCCTGCATTATATTATTATTATTGCCTTATCGATCATTATTTAAATACTATTATCCTTAATTTGGCATAATTGTGATGATCTGATTTCATTGTTTATACTATATTAATATAAAGTATTTTTATATGTAGAACAAGTTTATTTAGAGCATAAAGGTAGAATTAATTAGTAAAAGTTTAAAGATCAGAATATCTCTTATAATTTTATTAATAAAATTATGAAAAATATTATAATCTTTAAAATTTTACAAATTAAATCTATCTTAATACTCTAAACAAACTTGTTATATATGTAAAAATACACAATATTAATATATATTAACCTCTTCTATCTTTTTTTATCTCATTTTATATATTTTATATTATGATATATCTGATATAGCTTAATATATCTGATATCATCTGATATTATTTGATATAGCCTCCAAAAATTTTTTATTGTATTTGGGTTGTATTTATAAGATTTTTAAATTCAACAACTTTTGATTTCATAGTTAAATGTATGTATTACTGTATATAAAATTACTAAAAATATACTAATAATTTTCATATCATTCTCAATTATATCTATATTTCTATAATTAATTTTGATTTCACTTTTGCTTTAATTTTTTTGTAGCATAGTTTTTATCATTTATATACTAAAAATATATGTACAATAATAAACTTTATGTTTATCACTTATATGTCTTTTTTTTTTTGGTATTAAGGTGACCTCTATGATTAGAGGCTTTTTATTAGATAATTAACAACATTTACAATTATGATAAGAGTACAACTAGCCACATGTACAACTTTTGGTTGTCTATTTAAGTAGTCTGCCTGAGTTCTACACTAGCTGCCATACCTGCAATCTAACTAGAAGATTACCTATTTAAGCTCTCTGGCTTTTACAAGTGAGAGTACGACTAGCCATGCTTGCAACTT